CCCACCCTTTTCTTCCCGGAGTTTGAGTCCGTTTCAAGCATCAATTTCATTCGTGCAGAGTTTTTTCAGTCTTCCCTCAATTATTTTTCAACCGGTGAATTCTCGTCTCGTTCGTCATTCTTCATCTCTTTTTCTTTTTGGGTGGATTCAATTCAAGTTTTTCGGTAGTGATTATATTCTTTTCCTCGGCTCAAGTGTTTTCCCTGCTCGTTCGCCTCTCGCCATTTTATCCTTCCGGAGTTCGGAAGATATCTCAGGAGATTTGTCTGTGTTCCAATTAATTCGAGGGTATCACCTCATTTAAATATTTTAATTGTTCCGGTGCATCATCTATCTGTTGAACAATCCTTTCCAACGATGTTTTTCTTTTAGTGGGCCCTAACCCACAGGTCTTTTTCCAGGATCTTACCTGACTCTTCTAATTCTCCCGGAGTTATTCTTAATTCTTTTCAAGTCTGGCGTAAGTATGATTTCATCAGTCACATGCCTTCTCCAAGATCTCGTTCAAACTCTTTTCATTGTTGACTCAACCTCTCTGCTTTTCATTCTCCTGGAGTATCTCAGTAATTTTGGTGGTGTTTCTCGTCGTCATTTGGAGACAGAAGAAGAGTTTTTCCTCTAAATCTTGCCCATTCTCTCGAAGTTTCGTGGTTCTAGCTTCTTGTTACCCTCTCATATTATTCCATTTGTCAGTTATTTCTTTTCTTAACCATCCAGAGTATGTCAGAAGTTGATTTCTGTTTCGTTTCACCGGAGGCCATCATTCTAGCTACCGTTATCCAATTATCCCGGTGCTTCGTTCAAGTGTTCTTTAATCAGTTCATGATCTCTTTGTCCTTTTGCATCTAAATCCCCTCAGGCATATTTGATCGTCTAATTCTTCCGAGTGATTCATTCTCTTTCATCAGTCATTTTCAAATTCTTACGGTGGTTTGTTCAAGATTCTTTTTCCCTGATTATCATTTTAATTCATTCGTTCTTTCAATCCTACCGGTGGTTCATGAAGACTTTCTCAAGTTTTGCGCCATATCCCTCCTTAATCCTTTTCAAGAAGAATAAGTAGTATGTAAAATCCATTGCTAGTCATCAATTTAATTTGATGAAGGATAAACATACAATAAATCTTATTCTTAGTTCATCCAAGTGAGTAATCCCTTCCTTCGGAGTTTGTTCTTCATGAATAAATTCTAGTTCAAGTGTTTTCATCTTTTCTTTTCCGGAGTTCAAGTTTCCTCAGCCATTTCGTCGGAACCTCCATCTAAATTATCGCAAGGCTCATCTTATTCTTTCGTCCTTCATTTCTATCTCATCATCCTTTTGTCACCGGAGTTCTTCATGGTGATTCGTCATGATTTAATTCATTCTTCAAGAGTTCATCAAGATTTTGTTGGAGGAGTTCAAGTATCTTTTCCCAAGAGGAGTATGCCTTCCCGTGGTCTTCAATGAGCCTGCGGGAATCAATTGCCCAAATAACACGCGGATCTGGGGCCGGTGGATCACGGCGCGTGCCCGCGGCCTTGTCGGATGCGATGACCACTTCATGGCGCAACATCGGAGTACCGTCGGGACCGTTCAGGTGGCACCTCACCCCCGCGTTGCCGGGCACCAAAACAAAGGCCATAGTCACCTCCATGGGTCACCGCCAATCTAAAAAGGAGGCGCATAGTGCCTGCCGCATGAGGCTGCTGGTGCGGCTTCACACAGAGGCGGCTTCGGCAACCGTCTCGGTGGAGGCGGCACTGACAGCCCGCGACGTGGTGCCGGCTTCGGCAGCCCGCGAGGCGGCGGAGGAGGAAGCCCTCCGTGCATGCATAGCCGAGAAGCGGCGAAGAAAGGCAGTGAAGGCGATGGAAAAAGACCAAAGTAGGACAGTCTGTGCCATCGCCGGAGTGCCCCTCAAGGAGAAGAAGGACGAGGACGGTGACAGATCAGACTGCTCCGGCAGTGAGCATATTCGCCTCGATCTGTTCAGCGTATTTGAATGCTACTCCAGCACAGAGGACGGGAAGGGTAAGGGCAAGGCTGACCATGGGTGAACTTTTTCTAATGTCCTTTCATTCGTAGTTAGTAGAGCATGTTTTTGGTATTCCTGATGACATGTATTCAACTACGTATGTATGTTGCTTGAGATTAATATGGATTTGAGGATTTGGTTTGATGGATCCGGTTGTGGAGGAGCAATTTTGTGTGTTATCCAATCACTATCCACCGGCGTTTGGGGCCGGATTTTGCTACTTGTGGTTGTAGATGCTATAAGGGTAACTCCAACGTCCCTAAATGTCCAAGCCGTGGTCCGGGCATTTTTTTTTTTTTTTTGCCATCAACACTTGTAATCAAACATCCGCAATGTGGGTGGTATCAAAAAATTCCTCTCAACCAGTAAGAAACATGGCGAGGTTTGGGGGAGTACAGACATTCAGAGTTGATACTTTTTTATGTCTCTGTTTGGATGATCAGCTCCCCTACCTCTATCCACGCACATGTCCGATGTGTTCGTTTTGGTGCACGTCACTGGAGTTGCCCTAAGTGAGTGAGGGGGTGGAGCGCGGGGCGAAATCAGCCGAGAACCATGACAACCACTTAGACGAGGGGCTTTCATTCTTCTATCTCGCTCTCTCACATACGCGTTGTAATCTTTGATTCATACACAAAACAAAGAAAGCCTTTCCGAAGCACGAGGCGTAGGGTTGTTATCTCCATAATGAGAGACCCGAACTCATAAAAAACACATGTGTCACCCGTTTGCACCTCGATAGATGATGCAGGAAAAGGACGGAGTGGGGAGGGGAATTGGCAGAGAGCGGATAGTGAGCTAGGGTTTGGTCCAGGTGAGGCCGAGGGTTTTACTGGGGACAGAGTGGGGTCAACAAACCAGGTTGACGTGACGGACCCGTCCAGGCCGCTTTGGTTAGGAAAAGGTGACGGGTCGGCTAGTAACCAACTGTATAATCTCTTAGATGATACACTGTATAAGCATGATGTTTTGCACACGAGTAGAAGTAGGCGCAGGTGCAGAATTTTTACGCAAAATAACCGCACTGGTGTGCGAGGAAACCTGCAAAGAGCACAACGCAACAAAGATCGCGTCTGGCCTTACAGCTCCAGGCTGCAAAACATTAAAAATTTCCTATGAAAGCAAACACAAACGTGTACTGTATTAGCAATGGCGAGATGTTGGAATTTCATTGACCCCAGATTTGCAATAAAACACAGACCCACTGAGAAACCAACCCAGGATTTGTTCCAATGCATGAAAAAGAAGCTCATTCGACATTGCCTCAGGTCTTTGCTAATACAGAGCAGCTCAAAGTTCACACATGACCACCAAACGTTACAACTCATGTATTCCCATGTAAACAAGGAAAAACTGACATAATATCACAGGTTGGGCACGGCTAGTTCGTCAGTTCCATGATAGCACTGACTATGTCACCGTCAGCAGACTTGAGCGCCTTCACAGCCTTGGGCCTAGGCACGCCGGCCTGGGTCATCACCAGCTCAATGTCCTTCGGCTCAACTCCGGTCTCATCACAATCCTCGTCATCCTCCTGAATAGCTGTAGAAGCCTCAGGGTTTGAGATGACGCTGCTAAGATCAGGCGCCTTGAATTGCTCAGCGGCCTGGGACTGCAGCTGTGAGCTCAGATCCTCAATCTTAGCCTCACCGAAAATGACATAGGTGTCAGAGGCAGGGCTCTTGAATACATCTGGCTTGGAGATGACAAACAGGATCTGGGAATGAAACAGTAGTTAGCAGTTTAACCAAGAAAAGTTGTGAAGACGAGATAAGAGCACTCAGCAGCTCACATTCTTGCTCTTCTTGACAGTTACACGGCTCACGCCAGTGATAGTCTTCATGCCAAGCTTCAGCATGGCCTTCCTGCTCTTCTTCTCACTCCTACTCTGCTTAGATCTTCCACTTGCATCAACTCCTGCTCATCATCAGAGAGTAAACGATTAAACTTGATAACATAGACCAATCGTCAACAAGTTTGAAGTATGCAACAAAACAGTTTCATGGGACCACAAATTACTCAATTAGCAATTCACAATTTGCAATGCTGAAGTGTAAAAGCATCAAGACATGCACAGTAATAGCAAAGAGGAACACCATCAATATGTCTTGGCCTCGCATCACAAGTTGCAACAACTCATTGACAATTGAAAACCGTGAACAACAAAATGGAAAAAACACATTGATCGGCGGTGGATACAGAAACAATGGATATAATAGAATATCTTACAATTTTCAAACCAATATTTCACTCAAGCTGTGAAGTACTACTGCACTATATGTCAGGGAGAACATGTCAACAACAATTTCTCAGTAAAAAATGATGTCATGTTTGAGAACAAGCAAGCAAAAATTGAACAGATTATGTGAATACAAATAGCACTAAAATGAACCAAAAGGACCAGTAAATACACATGGTACTTATCACTCCAATAGATGTGCGGACTTCAAATGATTTGTTGACAAAATTAACCTAACCTTGCTACCATTTTGTAATTTTTCATTTAGTGCATACAAACTTTCATGCGAAGAAATAAGTAAGGCATATATTGAACAAACATACGATTAGCAAAAAATGGGTAAAAAATACTAGAATTTCTTCGTACCTTCAATATCATCGTCTTTGTCATCCTCGTCATCATCATCCTCATCTTCCTCATCATCATCATCCTCAACTACAGGCTCATCTCCCTGGAAGTACAAATTATTTCAACCAGTTTAGATTACCTGACAAGCAGTGACAGGTAGAGAAACAAAATCTGACCAGATCCAATAAATACAACAAATGAGTCTGAATGCATGAAACCAAAATACAATAAACAGTCCTTGTTGCCATTGATCAAATAGCACAGCATGATTTAGGTAGACAGAGAACAGGAGGCAAAATAGTACTCCCTGATCTAAACGCTCTTATATTACTTTACAGAGGGAGTAGCTTTTTTAGTCAAGATCTATAAATAATTCTATTGCCAAAGGAAACAGAAGTTCATGGTCGACCAGTAAGGAGGTATAAGTAACAACAAGTCGGTGTTAAAAACAATAATATGTGCATCCTAATTCTACAGTGCTTCTCACGACAGAGTATCACTAGCTATGCCTGTTATAGATACTACAGTACCTACCAAGGCTAATACGACGGTTACAACAAAAGACCTTAAAATCTTCTGAATAAGATTCAGTATCGAGGTTCATTTAGTGGTTAGCACGTACTATTTCCGCAGGAATAGCATCCCAAAACTTTTGAAGATCGCCCTATCTACTGTTCAACGCAGAGGGCGTTTGATCCGTGACAATCTAAGAAAAACATCACCAACCACTACGTATCCCGTCAAACCGTACCGCGTGCGAGATCTAAGAAAACCTTCCCCGCATATAACCCCCAAGCACGCCTAACAACCACCAAAACGCATCTGGCGCAGCAGGCCGGCGCTATCCGGCCGAGCGGAACGCGAAGCACGGGCCGATCCGAACAGACGAGACAGGCACCGGGCGGGGGGGTGGAGGGTTATATCATCACCTGCGCCGCGAGCTTCTGCTCATCCAGGACGGCGCGGAGCAGCTCCGCCTGCTTCGCGGTCTCGGCCGCCATGGTGGTTGGGTAGGCGGGTGGAGGCGCCGGCGCTGCTGGAGAAACCCTAGAACCCTAAGTTGGAAAGTGGGGGCTGTGGAGGCGCAAGCAAAGGGAGTTACTGCGACGGAGACGGCGCACGGACGCGTGACGCTTTATACAAGTGATCTTAGGTCTGAATGGGCTTGTAGGGTTTTCGGCCCAATGCCAATATGACGCGGTTACAGTACGAGGTTTAACTTTTCTTTCCTCGAGGGAAAAGTGGGGAGCTCTTATTTGACGCGCGTAGGCGTCAAACAGCTTTTTTCTTTTTTTCGAGAAACAGGCGTCGAACAGCTGTACCTTCGCAGAAGCTCACTACCGCTAGTTTTTTTGTGTGTCTAAAAAAAGCTAGTTTTTTTTTATTTTTCTGCGTTTTATTGGAACTTCCTGGATATTATTTGTGGAGCTAAAATACAGTTTAAAATTCCTATTTTAAAAACATATACTGTATTTTGAACATTGTTTCAAATATGAATATATACGCTGAACAATTTTCAATACGCATTGAACAATTTTGCAATATACGTTGAATAAATTTTGGAAACACATTGAACATTTTTGTAAATATACGTTGAACAAATTTTGCATACACATTGAACATTTTGCAGAAATACGTTGAAAAAATTATGGATACACATTGAATATTTTGCAAAATACGTTGAACAAATTCTTAAATTACGCTGAATTTTTTTATAATGTATGCAAAACTTTGTATATTTAATACGCAATGGACTTTGTATAATACAGGGAAAAATGAAAGAAAAATAAAATGGGAAAATGGGAAAACGAAAAGAAAAGAAATAGAAACAGAAACAGAAAAAAGAAAAGAAAGATAAGAAATAAAAAACAAAAAAAGCAGCCTTGCGACATGGGCCGGCCCAAGCTGGGGCGTCGGGAGGATGAGCTTCAGCGGAGCTGCGTCATTTTTATGCCTACGCGTGTCAAATAGGGATTGCCGGAAAAGTGCGAGGTTTTAACTCTTTTTTAGGTAGTGCGAGGTTTAGCTGAGTGCTCCTATTCCGTCGTCACGCCAATTGCTCGCCCATTTACCAGGGGCGGGCGGTCCGCAGCCATCCTGTTAGGTTAGCATTTTTTTTGAACACCACCTCATATATTAATTAACCAAAGTCGTGTTACAATAGTTCACTACAGAATTCACCACAGGGCAGTACATCATTAACAAGAATCCCATCCACTCTATTATCAAAACTAAACTTAGCTATTAGATGGGCGACCTCATTAGCCGAGCGCCTAATCTTTGAAACTCTGAAACTATCTATAAGCTTAGAAATACTCCATGCTTCCTTCTTCAGATCATGCAGAGCTGATCTATCCTCAAATTCGTTTGCAAAAATCGCCGCAACAAAAGTGCAGCCAGCCTCTAAAATTATAGGAGAATGAAGTGTTATACCTATATAGAGACCATCAATGCAGGCTCGGAGTTCTGCTTCCTCCATGCTATTACACCTCCCAATGTAGTCCCACGACGATTTTGAATCGTGTGTTCCATTGGAGGCGCCCCGTGGCGACTCGGGCGGCGACTCCGTACCCCCGGGCGATTCTGGCGCGGCGTCGGCTTGGGTTCTGGTGCGGCGGGGTCCCTGCGGCGCTCCGGCGCCTGCCGCCTCGGCGTGCTCCCCTGGGGCAGGTCGTGCTGGGTGCGGTGGCCGGTTCTGGGCTCTGTCGGGGGATGCGACCGACGACGAGGACGGGGTTTCCTCTCCGCGGGTGGCTCCTCCCCCGGCGGGGGCGTCACTGGGCGATTTCGTGCTAGCGGCGGCTCGTGGCGGCGCTAGTCGGGGCGACCGGCGCCGTCGCTTTGCGCCGGGCGGTGGAGGCTCGCGAACGACGGCGGTTCGTTGCTGGCAGCCGGAGGCGCTTGTCTCGAGCGCTCCGGGGGTTCGTTCGGCGCTCCCGCTAACTCCCCGGTGTTCTGGGCCCGCGGTGGCCCCGGCGTCGCCGGAGGAGTGGCCTGCTCTCCCTGCCTTGCCCTCGACGGCGTCGACGGTGACGGAGGCGGCGCGGGTGGCGGAGGGGGCTGAAGCGCTAGGGTTGGCGTCGACTGCCCTTTCCTTGGGCCTGCCGGGGGCCTTTGGGCCTGGGTCGGCCCCGCTCTGTCCTCAGGTTGTCGGGCCCCAAAGTGTGAGCCCACGCGCTGGTCCTGGACCGATCGGCCCGCAGGGTCGGCCCGACCTGGGGGGGGGCGGAAGCCTGCTGGCCAGTGCTATATATGGCTGTGCAGGGGCAGCCGCGACCCCTCGCTAGGGTTTCCGGCTCGTCTCAGTGAGGTGCGGCGACACTGTCTCTCCGCCAGATCTCTCGTCCCCATCCCTCCCCCTCCCCCTCTCACTCTGTCCTTTGCCGAGGCGACGGCCATGGGCGACCGCCGTGCTGACAAGCGCCTGATGGAGCCTCCGCTCTCCGAGGAGGAATGGCGGCGCGAAAAGGCCCTCCGGGAGCAGGCGAAGCGTGGCCAGCGGGCCAAGGCGGCGGGGCATGCTGATGGCGGCGGTGGTTCTTTTCATGGTCAGGACGGCGGATCTGGGCGCGGCTGCGGTGGCTACCAGGGCCAAGATTCCGGATCTGGCTTCCATGGGCGCGAGGGGGATTGGGGTCCTCCTCCGCCCTGGTGGGGTCAACAAGAGAAGAATAAGAAGCGCAAGCATGGTGCTCGGCATTGCGAGCTGGAACGCAAGTCGCAGGACCTCCCCCCTGCAGCGACGGCCATGGGGACCCGCTGGCAAAGAAGCCTCGGGCCTCGGTCGCACCGCTTGCGCTGATCGCGGCCGATGCGCCGAGGGGCTCGGCGGCTGCCCCCATTCCGGTCGAGGAGGAAGGCGGGGAATGTTTCAAGTGTGGCCGTACCGGGCACTTCCAGGCCAAGTGCTCTTCCCCCCCCCCCTCTTGTGTGATCTGCAAGCAGGAGGGCCACGCCTCGGCTTATTGCCCTTCGAGGGGCAAACAGCCGCACCTCCAGATCATGGGCAGTGCCATTCCGGGCGAGGGTTTCTTTTGCATGGAGTTTGAGGACGACCTGATGGCTGAGGGCGAGGCCCCCAAGGTTGCCAATGGTGCCATCCTATCAGCGGAGCCGGGGAGGCTTTCGCTGCGCTTGCTCAAGCAGGAGCTGAAACACATGGTGGCTGGAGATTGGGACTGGCAGATTGAGCAGGTGGGTGATAATGACTATGCGGTGGTGTTTCCTTCTGCCGATTTGCTGCACATGGCCAAGTCAAGTGGCAAGCTCTTCCTCTCCATCCACGACATTACGGTTCTGGTGCGCGACTCGATTCAGGAGACAATAGTCCCCCTCTCCATGCCTGAGGTGTGGCTCCGCCTCCATGGCATCCCCAAGAAGCACCATCGTGTTGATCGTCTGATGGAGGGGCTCAAGATGCTGGGTAGGCCGATCGTGGTGGATGATCTTTCCCTTATCCGGGTGGGACCGGTGAGGATGAAGTTTGGTTGCAGAGCTCCTGACAAGATGAATGGTTTTGTGCAAGTTTGGTTCAATCATGAGGGATACGACATCCGGGTGGAGGCGGAGAAGCTTCCATTGTGTCCTGGTGACGGGCCGGCGGCGCCTGGTCCCAACAACAACCCCTCTCACCCGGGCAACAAGAGTGTTGGTCCGCCTGGTCCGGGGACCGGTGGGACTGCTGGTCAACAGGTGCAAGACCCTGGGGCCCAGGGAGGGCAACTCAACGGAGGCTCGGGCCGCGCTATGGATGTTGACATGGCCGGCCAGGATGAAGAGCCTGAGGACAGCTTGCTAGACACGTCTATCGACACGGAAACTTGGAACCAAGTGGGCATTCAAGAACTGGCACTCAACAAAGGGAAGGAGAATGCGGAGCCTGGGACTTTGGCGATTGCGGACACGGCTGGGAGCAGCCCGCCCCCATCCCGCGCTCTGGTGGGGGCTTTCAACCTGGTGGGCTCGGCGTCGCTGTCTGTTGCTGGTCGCTGCGCTTCTGCTGGGTGTATCGCCGCGGCTGTCACTCCCGCCCCCCCTGCTTGCCTGGTTCGGACTCGGATGTGGTGCTCAACGAGCCAGCCATTACCACCCCATTGTCTTGCCGTCGCAGCTCGGGGGGATCCGGGCGTGCCCCTAAGAAGTCGGGCAGGTGGAAGCCTACTGTCAAGCTTGCTACACTGGTGCTCCCGTCGCTTGTGGCGCCGGCCATGGTGGACCTTCAGGCGGCGCTGGGCTCTGCGGGCACGGCGGCCAAGGCGCGGCGCTCTCGGGCTTCCCCGGTTCCTCAGCGTGCTCCAAGTGCTCGGGCCAAGGCGGCGTTGGGAGACCTTTCTTCCCTGGAGAGTGTGCAGCTTCGTCTGGCGGATAAGAACATGGAGATCTCAGGTAACACACCCCCTCCTTTAAGATTCTGAATGCTTTTTACAAATCCGCAGCTAGTTACTATCTTAGACGACAACGGTTTCGAATTAGGAGCGGATCGTGGTGAGCTTGTGACTCTTATTCGTGCTCGCGAGGAGGCCCAAGTGGCTTTGGCAGAGGCCGCTGCTGCGGCCAAGGCCAGGGAAGCTGAGGCCACGGCGCGGGTGGCCATTGCCGATCCTGTGACTTCGGGTACCCCCACCTTGCTAGTCCTGTTGGAGGGGGCTGTCGCAACCAGGGAAGTTGCCACAGCACCATTGACGAGCCGTGCCCAGGCTAAGAAACGTGTGGCAAAACCGGTGACCTCCAAGGGGTTTGCCTTTGCAACCGCATAATTTGATGCGTTACATCTTTTGGAATATTCGGGGTTGCGGGCACTCGGGTCGTCGCACGCAACTTAGGGAGTATATTGCTCGCGAAAGTATCGATGTTGTGGCTCTTCAAGAAACCATCAAAGCGGACTTTACTTATCGTGATCTTGCGGCCTATGATCCTCTCCATCGCTTCGTGTGGGGTTGGGTCCCTTCCGCTGGCCATTCGGGCGGTCTCCTCTTGGGATGTAATTCTGATGTATGTGATG